AGAACAAGGTCAAGCAGCAGACATTGGGGACAACAAAGCTACAGATCGGCAGAGGGCGAAAACGACACTCTACTGACCGGGATGACCGCCAACTCATTCGAATGTCACTCAACAACTGTAGGATGACATCAAGTGACCTACAAAAAAGAATGGCAAACGGCAGCTGGGGTGAAGTGCACGGCGAGGATGGTTTGAAACAGGCTCCTAGGGGCAGGGCTGAAGTCGTGCAAAGCTAGAAAAAGAGCCCTTCATCAATGATAAGCAAAGAAGAGCCAGGCTGAGGTTTGCAAAAGACCATAAGGATTGGACCGTAGAGGACTGGAGTAAGGTCATCTTCTCTGATGAGTCCAATTTTGAGCTTTGCCCAATACCTGGTCGTCTAATGGTTAGACGGAGACCTGGAGAGGCCTACAAGCCACAGTGTCTCGCACCCACTGTGAAATTTGGTGGAGGATCGGTGATGATCTGGGGGTGCTTCAGCAAGGCTGGAATCGGGCAGATTTGTCTTTGTGAAGGACGTATGAATCAAGCCACGTACAAGGTTGTCCTGGAAGAAAACTTGCTTCCTTTTGCTCTGACATTGTTCCCCAACTCTGAGGATTGGTTTTTCCAGCAGGACAATGCGCCATGCCACACAGCCAGGTCAATCAAGGTGTGGATGGAGGACCACCAGATCAAGACCCTGTCATGGCCAGCCCAATCTCCAGACCTGAACACCATTGAACACTTCTGGAATGTGATCAAGAGGAAGATGGATGGTCACAAGCCATCAAACAAAGCCGAGCTGCTTGACTGTGTGGCTGAGTGGCATAAGTCACCCAACATCAATGTGAAAGACTGGTGGAGAGCATGCCAAGACGCATGAAAGCTGTGATTGAAAATCAGGGTTATTCCACCACATATTGATTTCTGAACTGTTCCTAAGTTAAAACATTAGTATTGTGTTGTTTAAAAATGAACATGAACTTATTTTCTTTGCATTATTCGAGGTCTGACAACACAGCAACTTTTTTGTTATTTTGACCAGTTGTCATTTTCTGCAAATAAATGCTCTAAATGACAATATTTTTATTTGGAATTTGGGAGAAATGTTGTCAGTAGATTATAGAATAAAACAAAAATGTTATTTTTACCCAAACACATACCTATAAATAGTAAAACCAGAGAAACTGATAATTTTGCAGTGGTCTTGTCACGACTTCGGCCGAGGCTGCCTCCCCTCCTTGTTTGGGCAGGCTTCGGCGTTCGTCGTCACCGGAGTACTAACCACTGCCGCCCCAATCATCATCACAGTTGTCTTGTCAATCACACACACCTGGTTCTATTCCCGTAATTAGTCAGTGTATAAGTGTTCCCTCTGCCCCCTTGTCCTTGTGAACGAGGTGTTTCGGGACATGCTTGATCGCTGTGTAGTGGTCTACATTGATGACATCCTGGTGTATTCCGCTACGCGCGCCGAGCATGTGTCCCTGGTTCGCAAGGTGCTGGCCCGACTGTTGGAAAATGACCTTTATGCTAAGGCAGAGAAGTGTATGTTTTTCCAGCAGTCCGTCTCCTTCCTTGGATACCGCATTTCCTCCTCAGGTGTGGAGATGGAGGGAGATCGCATTTCAGCCGTGCGTAATTGGCCGACTCCAACCACGGTTAAGGAGGTGCAGCGCTTCCTTGGCTTTGCCAACTACTATCGGAGGTTTATCCAGGGCTTTGGCAAGGTGGCAGCTCCCATTACATCCCTGTTGAAGGGTGGGCCATCCCGGCTCCGCTGGTCTGCTGAGGGTGACCTGGCCTTCAGGAGACTGCGGGGTCTGTTCACCTCAGCGCCGGTACTGGCCCACCCCGATCCATCACTACCGTTCGTAGTGGAGGTGGATGCGTCCGAGGTAGGGATAGGCGCTGTCCTGTCCCAACGCTCGGGCACGCCACCCAAGCTCCGCCCCTGTGCTGCCTTCTCTAAGAAGCTCAGCCCGACGGAGCAGAACTACGACGTTGGTGATCAGGAGCTGTTGGCTGTTGTCCGAGCCTTGACCGTGTGGAGGCATTGGTTCGAAGTGGCGAAACACCCTTTCCTCATCTGGACGGACCACCGTAACCTGGAGTACATCCGGGCAGCGAGGAGGCTGAATCCTCGCCAGGCCAGGTGGGCCCTATTCTTCACCAGGTTTGATTTGACATTGTCATACATTCCGGGTACGAAGAACGTGAAGGCAGACGCACTGTCCCGGCTGTATGACACAGAGGAGAGGCCCAGAGACAACACCCCCATACTCACGGCCTCCTGCATTGTGGTGCCGATAGTATGGGTGATGGACGCGGATTTAGAGCAGGCATTACGCACAGATCCATCTCCACTGCAGTGTCCAGCTGGGCTGCGGTACGTGCCTGCTCTTATCCGTGATCGTCTGATCTTCTGGGCACACACGTCACCCTCCTCTGGTCACCCAGGTATCGGCCGTACAGTGCGCTGCTTCACCGGAAAGTACTGGTGGCCTACCTTGGCTAAGGACGTGAGGGTGTACGTCTCCTCCTGCTCAGTGTGCGCCCAAAGTAAGGCACCTAGGCACCTCCCACCGGATAAGCTACAACCCTTACCAGTTCCACTACGACCATGGTCTCATCTTAGTATTGATTTTCTGACTGATCTTCCCCTCTCCCAAGGTAACACCACCATCCTGGTCGTTGTGGACCGCTTCTCCAAGTCCTGCCGCCTCCTTCCTCTGCCCGGTCTCCCCACGGCCCTGCAGACTGCGGAGGCCCTGTTTACTCACGTCTTCCGGCACTACGGAGTGCCAGAGGATATAGTGTCTGACCGAGGTCCCCAGTTCACATCCAAGGTTTGGAAGGCGTTCATGGAACGTCTGGGGGTCTCGGTCAGCCTGACCTCTGGGCTCCACCCCGAGAGTAATGGGCAGGTGGAACGAGTAGATCAGGATGTGGGTAGGTTCCTGCGGTCCTACTGCCAGGACCGGCCGGGGGAGTGGTCGGTGTTCTTGCCATGGGCAGAATATGCCCAGAACTCTCTCCGCCACTCCTCTACTAACGTAACACCATTCCAATGTGTTTTAGGTTACCAACCGGTTCTGGCACTGTGGCACCAGAGCCAGACCGAGGCTCCTGCGGTGGATGACTGGTTTCGGCGCACGGAGGAGACGTGGGACGCTGCCCACGTTCACCTCCAGCACGCTGTGTGTTGTCAGAAGGCCAACGCTGACCGTCACCGCAGGGAGGCCCCGGTTTTCATACCAGGGGATCGGGTCTGGCTCTCAACCTAGAATCTGCCCCTCCGCCTGCCCTGCCGGAAGCTGAGCCCGCGGTTTGTGGGGCCATTCAAAGTCCTGAGGAGAATCAACGAGGTTACTAATAGGTTGTTACTCCCCCCTGATTACCGAATGAACCCCACGTTTCATGTGTCTCTCCTCAGGCCGGTGGTGGTTGGTCCGCTCCAGGAGTCTGAGGTGCGGGAGGTTCCTCCACCTCCTCTTGACATCGAAGGGGCCCCGGCATACTCTGTCCGTTTCATCCTGGAATCGAAGCGTCGGGTGGGGGGCCTTCAGTACCTTGTGGAGTGGGAGGGGTACGGTCTGGAGGAACGGTGCTCGGTCCCGTTAAGGGATATCCTCGATCCCTCCCTGTTGCGGGATTTCCAACGTCGCCATCCGGCTCGCCCTGCTCCGCGTCCTTCTGGGCGTCCCTGAGGCCGGGGTCGGTGCGCTGCTGGAGCTGCGTGTCGCGGGGGGTGGGGTACTGTCACGACTTCGGCCGAGGCTGCCTCCCCTCCTTGTTCGGGCAGGCTTCGGTGTTCGTCGTCACCGGAGGACTAACCACTGCCGCCCCACTCATCCTCACAATTGTCTTGTCAATCACACACACCTGGTTCTATTCCCCTAATTAGTCAGTGTATAAGTGTTCCCTCTGCCCCCTTGTCCTTGTGGGTGATTGTTTGTTGTGGAGGTTAGTGAAGCTCAGTGGAGCTTGTGTATTTTGTATCGACGGGAGTATTTTCCCGTGTGCCTTGTATTTTACAGTGCACCTGTTTTGTGCCCTGGAGTGTGTGTGACGCATTTCTGCGTAAACCTGTATTTTTCGGATTAAAGCCTGTTTCTGTGATTTGCCCTCCTGCGCCTGACTCCTTCAACACCACCTTATCACAGGTCTCTTAATTTTTTCCAGAGCTGTATGTGCCCATAGAAAGTATACAACCCTTTGCACAAATGTCACAGTTTTGCCTCACAGCCTGGAAGGTAAATGCATTAAATTATGCACACACACAAAACATCTGGGAGTGTATACTCTCTAGGCACTGTATGTATTCATTTATCTACTGGGATCAGGGATACGTACAGGCTTCCAGTGTTATTCGGCTTCAGTTTCCTGAGCAACAAAGCCACATCACATCACAGTTACAGATCCCCTGAAGCCATTCCTCTACAACCGTCCGTGGTTCAAACACCCCCATGTATATTTATCAACTGACTGTCTGGTGGCAGGCTGAGGCACAGAGCCTGCTATCGTCTGGCTGATGGAGGAACCTATAAATAGACACCAATTCCCAGTTAATTCTATCCTGTCTTTCCCCCATTTGATGGGAATTCTGAGGAAATTGGCTGAGTATTAATCTCTAACCAAACAGGTTTTCAAAATTAATTTTCAAAATTATTCATGGCGAGGAAAGAGAGAGAAGGTTAAAAGGCATCCTTGTCTCATCTTAGTAGGGAAATGTCTGTCGATTTTCCATTCTCTGTGTTTTACCTGGGGCTTTCCTTGATAAATTACAATGCCTTATTCCGTGCTTTCTCCTGTAGTTCCTTATGTAGGGTCTCCCCCCCCCCCCCCCCCTCTCCTCTTACCCTCTGTGTGAAGACTGGGAATGTAATCACCAAGCAAACTCCCTGGGATTCAGCTGGGTGCCTTGGCTAGTACAATTTGGGGAGAGGATAAGCCTTGATTTTCATAATGTGCATTTTGAATATGAATGTGGCTCCTTTGTGTGACTGACTGTATCCATGGAAACAGAGACAGAGGTGAATAGAAGATGAGACCATGTCTCACCACTTTGTTAGGCCCTGTGGTCCTGCCTTTTGTCAGAGCACTGAATCTACTGTAACACTGGCCCATTCACCTTTCACCCTGACCCACCCTTACTTCTGTGGAAACATTATCATATCTTATCTCTTATCTTATCAATCGTGGGGATAGGACAGGGTATACCAAATTACTCTGTCCTGTCTTATGAAGGCCATGGATGGATTGTTATTGAGTCTCTATCTTCCTTGAGTCCCTTTTCCTCTTCCATCCCTCCACTCTCTCTTCCCCTCAGTCCTCTTCTCCTCCTCCTTGAATCTCATCTGACAGAATCTGTCCTGACCTCTGACCTTTTCCTTTAGGAGCTGCCGGAGGTCAACGTGACCTGGTCGGGGGTGGGGCCCCAGGCGCTGGACTCCATCAGCATCTCCATCGCTGTGGTGACCGAGAAGGGCCTCATTACCCCCATTATCACAAACGCTGCTGACAAGGGAGTGCAGGAGATCTCCGCTAATACCAAGATATGGTGGAAGACTACTGATACCTGGGTACTGTGGAGCTCGTAATTCAGAATGGGGGCCTGTGCTGTTGGAGAAATACATGCCAGTGAGCTTCTAACTATCCCGGGCGGAGTGGAATAAAATAATTAAATGTTACAGTATCTGAAATGGAATTAGCTGTCTCCATTATTTAGTGGCAGTTACAAAGCACTCAAATTAAAGTTCTATAAAATGAGTGTAGAACGGTAATATCACCAGCAGCCCCTTAGCCTTGAGGCTGTGGCTGAATCCCAAATCACCCTTGACCCTCCATTTGCACATTCACGCGTGCCTCTACAATATGAGCGTGTCCCAAAGCTGAGGGTGTGAAAATAATGGAGGGTGTAAGGGCTAATTAGACCCTCCAATAGCCACTTCGACATAGTCCGCTATGCTGCCGGCTTCAGAGCAAAGGGGTATGCCATAATGCACTGCATAATTGTTTTAAGTTGCACAAGTTCACTTTTTTTTTTGCCACCTGTATTTGTTTGTCAGATTTCGAGACTTGACACATGTAACATTGGAAATACCTCCCAAATTAAATGTGTAACTGTTACTGAGGTTTATATCTTGTAAAACGACAGGGTGAATTTTCTCATTTGAATTTCATGCTCATTTTATTATTTAAATGTGGAACATGAATTGCATCATTCAAGTCACGAGTGTGTCCCGAAGTTGATTGGTTTATTTGATCCCCTCGCCAGTCTTGAAGTCACCCTCAGAGTTTCGTCAGCAACACTTGACAACGGAGGGCCCTCCAATCGAGTTGGTAAGGGCCAGGGGCTGGTTTCGGATTCACTGTGTAACTGCATTCCTCAGGTGATTTCTTTAGAAAGGTCAGGCTGTGTAATGAGTTGTAGTGTGGGGGCTCATTCTGAATCACTCTCTAAGTAAACACATTATCAGGGTTGGTGGTGTTTACCTTCCTGGACAGGGACCAGAGAGTGTTGTGCTTCAGGCTTAAACCACACCATTATTTGCATAATCTTTTGCAGCTCTTAAATCTGCCACAATTGGGCTTCTCATAATGATTTTGGTGATGATGGTGGATTGCTAAAATAACTTAATCAAATGATTGACACAGTAGATAACCATACTAGTGATGGGGGAGGGGAAATCAATACAGTTACATATCGGGATATTATTTGTGACAATATCGCAATATTATTTTTGCGGCCGCTAGTCAGCTGTACCTACACCAAAACTCACCATCTTCTTTTTTAATAGTGAGCCAAATTTGTTTTCAGCTATTTAATTTCCATGACTGATCAAAACTTGTTTTCTCATGACTCGCTTATCCCCCTGCAGCAGTCGTATGGTGAGCAATATGTTTGGAACATCAAATCGCAATATCGAATCGCAATATCGAATCGCAATATATATATCATCTTGAGAATTGCAATACATATCGTATCGGCATCTAAGTATCATGATAATATTGTATCGTAAGGTCCCTGGCAATTCCCAGCCCTAAACCATACTGAATCTAGAGGGTGTATACATGTCTGTGTGATATGACACTGTAGTTATAATAATAATAATATGCCATTTAGCAGACGCTTTTATCCAAAGCGACTTACAGTCATGCGTGCATACATTTTTGTGTATGGGTGGTCCCGGGGATCGAACCCACTACCTTGGCGTTATAAGCGCCGTGCTCTACCAGTTGAGCTACAGAGGACCACCCATACATAGTTCTCTCCATCTCAGCAGCCAGCTATGAACTGAACGTGCCATGATTATGAGTAAATAAATGTACACACAGAAACACCGATATGATGAGATGAGATCACCATGCTAGATCATTTGAAGCGATTAATGGAGGGTTAAATAAGGGGCGGGTACAGAGGCCTCAGCAGCTGGGTGCACACACACACACACCAGTGCGCCAGCTTAGGAAATAGAGAATGTGACAATGTAATTCCAATGTATCCCCTGCAAATGATGCAGTGGACAACATGTTCTCCCGATCTGTGGCCAGCCACAACACATGTATTAAACACATGCACACTTGCAGTGTCACACGCACGCACGCACGCACAGTAGACTCCTGTCTGTGTGTTCCCACCCAGAGTCAGAAGCCTGGTTTGAGTTAGGGCAGAATATAAACCCCTTATTAGCAGCTAATTTAATACAACATGTGGTCTGGAAGGGGCACAGCGCGCTCAATGGCTACCATGCCTGATCCCACAAAACACATGATTGCTTTTCCTTTTCCTGCTGTTATCGCAAATGTCTCCCCATGTATTCTAATGTGTCTCTGGGTCTTTTGACTTAGTTTTTTAGTTAAAAGCAGTGTCACTGCAATATCTCTAAAGCATTTCCATTTGAATGAGCATGACATACATGAGTGTTAGATGTATTATTGCAAATCTGCTGCAGGTTGCGCAGGTTAACTCATAACCTGCAGTCCCGGCAGTTATATCCGCAGGGTGGGTCATTAAATATTGTGTGGATGAAGGCCGGATGGGTGGCGGGCGGGTTGAATAAACAGAAAACAGTAACTTAAAAATATCCATAAATGTATAATTGTTGATCAATTTATATCTATAGGCTACATTGAGGTTTTTCTTTCCTTATTTTAGGCTATCTGGCATTAGTGCATAAGCCTAATTAAGCTTTAGGGCCTAACTGTACGCGCGCCAAATAGCCTACACGACAATCGCCAAATGCTTTTGGGAACGAGCAGAAAAAGTTAACTTCGATCCATGTAGGCAAAAACGATTCAGTAAGAGAAAAGCTGCGAAATGGAGAGTTCAAAATAAAGAGAAGGGAGGGCCAGAAATGTAATGTTTGGAAAAGATTTGGTGAAGTGGTAAAATAGGATGATAGCAGTGTTATGTGTGATGATTGTGAAGCACAATACAAATTTGACAGTCACAAGATCGGGACTTCAAATAGGCCTATGGCACGTAAAGGAACTGTAGAGTCACGTACAGTATACTGTTCAGATGGGTAAATGGAAACTTAAATCTGGACACTGACTGTAGGTCCATAACCTCTCACATAGCCTTAATATTAACTCCTGCAGAATTAAGCATTTCTTGCAGTAAAATGACAAATGTAGGCTACATTTTGACGAGTGGCGAAATATGATTTTTGACATCTTGAGAGAATGCGAATGCGCAGTTAGATACCATCTGTAGAGGTGCTAACTTTATCAGTATCATAAACGCTGATAGAGCCTATTTCAACCACATAAATTATGCATCCAAGCCAAACTAAAATCTTATCAGAAACATGTTGGGTCGTTTTCACAGCTCTCTATTTCCTTATATCCAGTCAAACTGATGTCATTTGGAAATTTTACACACAAAATCTTTCCTGTTTTTTTTCTCCCTGGTCCGTAAAAGTCTTTGCTCCGCGAAAGAAGCAGAGATGGCAGAGAACTTTACCGATGTCAACTAGATTGTAGCATTCATTCTATCGATTTATGACATTCTGGAGAGCCAGGGTTTATTTAGTGTTCTAGGGCAACATATAATGACAGAAGAGAAGCTACATGTACATTATCTAATTATAGACAAGTTGACTAACAAATAGCCTACCAAAATGTCAGAAATTATAAGCAGAAACATTATCTAAATCGGGAAAATAAATTCCTGCACCCCCTGTCAAAAAAATATTTCCACCGTGTCTGACTGTAGCCTACAGCAAATTTTTCTATATTAGCGAGTTAGGGCAGGGTGCAGGCCTCAGATTTTCACTTTATCAGCTATTGTCGGGCGGTTGCGAATGGGTTATTAGCAATTGCGGGCGGGTGTGTGTGAACCAACAGCTGACCCACGCACTACTAGTGTATGCATGTGAGGAAGCTATGGAGGATTTTCCACCTCACATGCACTGGGATGAGAGTCAATAACCCAGAAAACACCCACACACCAATAGAAAGTGCAACAGTGCGGCCTCCAAGCTCCTTATGTAGCATACTGATTCGTGCTCTAGTAGCATATTGATTCATGTTGACTTTTGAGTGATGGAAGGAAGCGGGTGGGGTGTTTAATTGTTTCTAAAGCACAATTACATTAGAGAACTCCTCTTCTCGTCTCTGCTCATTGAGTCATGTCAACTCCCTTACTCCAGCTTGCCAATCCACAGGCGGAGAAAGCCCACTCAAAGACAGAGAGTACACACATAATCAAGTTGGCAAAGCAGCAACATGGACTTACACACATCTGTGTGCAGGAGAGGAAAATGTATAGCCTACAATAGTAATAGGGTCTGAAGTTGAAGACCTTGGAATTGGAATCAGCGGGGTTAAACATTGATGATACAGTAGGTCTACATGCATTCAGACAAAGTGGTCAATTTTGTGTAAATAATGTTCATTTGTCATTATTCTAGTGCAGTCCCATTCCACCCCAGATGGCCTGCTTGGAACCCTCCTAAATCAAATCAGATGTTATTTGCCACATGCACCGAATACAACAGGTGTAGACCTTACAGTGAAATGCTTACTTACAAGCCCTAAACCAACAATGCAGTTTAAGGTAAAAAATTAATAAGTAAAAAAAAAAGCTAATCATTAAAGAGCAGCAGTGAAATAAAATAACAGTAGCGTGGCTATATACAGGGGGTACCGGTACAGAGTCAATGTGTGGGGGCACCGGTTAGTTGAGACTAACTCTCAATTGATTTTTCATTAAAAGCAATTGCTCACACTGTTTCCTCCCGCTCAGCCAATTTAGTTCTCATTGTGTTAATGTAAAAGTGTTGCCTTCGATGGGGTTCAACACAGTGGGATTGAACTTCACTCTGCTCTAGCTCTGTGTGTGTTGATGCCTGGGTTTATTTAAGTGATGCTAACAGAAGCTCTGGCATGAAGCCCTTTTTTAGTGAAGCATTTGGAGTATACAGTCTGAACTCTGAGTGAGGGCTGCCTTTGGAGTGTTGACTATGGCAGGCTGAAGGGAGGTTGTCAGCATTACATTATTTCAACATTATCATTGAACAATGAGGTCCATACTGTATCACTGAGACTGCTAGAAGCCTGATTGATGGATCTTATTGAACCATCACCACCTCTAGACAGTAGATCGTTGATTAGCCTATGGCTCAGAGTGGATCCCTGCAGATCTCATTCCAAAGGATCTCTGATCATCTGACTACAGTAGACGACTGACTGACTGCAGATCTGTTTTCTCCAGGCGCTGGCCCAAAATGCTCGTGATGGGAAGCTGCTTCCTCATGAGTACCAGGGAGGCTCCTTCAGGTAAACACAACACACCTTATTATCTGGGAGAGAGATAATACTAACCCTCTGTCCTTTACACCTGGAATATTATTTAGATAGATATGCTTTGTACAAATGCAGTGTAGACTATGCTGTGGGATTTGTCTCTTGGCTTGTTAGAAGGTGAACTGGTGTTTGACTCAGGTTCTTACTTAGCACTTCAACATAGTCAAAAGTTTGAGTATGCAGACATACAGGTCTACGGTGTGGGAGACCATGTGTGGCAGAAAGGTGTTCAATAGCTGTATCTGGTTCACCGGTGACTTCACTATTATAACAATCTGGAGCTTTTGTACCAGGCGCTAAGCTAGTCATTTCTTGTATAGTTCAGTAGGCTGCTGATAGGGAGCAGTCATTCATGTCCTGCTATTAGAGTTATAACCATCACAGCTAGATCATATAATATGCAAATTCTACATTATCACATGCATGCATGAAGAGAATATGTGGCCAGACGACAAGAGCTATCAATTATGTGGCCATCCATTCTAGGGGAGGGGGGGCTGTTTTAACTCATTAGAATGAATGGGGTCATTTAGACATAAATGGAGTTTCTGTGTCAGAGAGGAGGATAATTAATTCCTATAAAGGATGCAAGCTCTTTCTAACTCTTCTTGAAGATGTATGCATGCTTCCTCTCTCATTTTATCCATCCCCCAGGCCTGGCTATGTCATTAACCCACACAGCAAATTGCATGTGGATGTTATTGCTCACTCAACACAGAGATGGGATGGTCTCTCTCTCTATGAGTTCACCTCATGCTGTTGGAAGTGGCACAATGTCTTTATGTGTCTATTGAGGAAATGTCTCCTGGTATCCTCTTTTGTATTCTCCTTAATTCACCTCACACACAGTCTCTTTGTGGTGTGAGTTCATGCTGTCTTGACTGAATTAGTAACAGGGAATAGGTAGTAATAAGGCCCCATTATGTCTGGCAGTAATCTCCCCTTGGTTAATTGTCTGCATGTTTTCCCTGGCTGAGCCAGACTAATGATGCAATGCCCATTGTCTCCTCTCTCTCATTCTCCTCCCTTCCTCTCTCACCACCCTCCCACTTTTTTTCTCGCTTTCCCCCACCCCTCCTTCATTCTCTCTCGCTCTCCTCCCCCTATTTATTCCTCCCAATTCCTTTCACAAATCAAATTAGCTTTATTGGTACAAATGGTGAAATAACTTTCTCTATCCCTCCCTTCCTGTCTCTCTCTGACAGTATTTCTAACCTGGGCATGTTTGGCATCAGTGGGTTCAGTGCGGTGATCAACCCTCCGCAGGCGTGTATCCTGGCCGTGGGCACCTCCAGGGCTGTGCTTCGTCTGACCGAGGAGACAGGTGCCCTGAGCACCGTCACCCTGTCTAGAGACGGGCGCCTAGTGGACGACGAGCTGGCATCACACTTCCTGGACAAGTTTAGTGCCAACCTGGAGCGGCCGCAGCGCATGGCACTAGCCTGAGAGAGGGATGGAAAAAGGGAAGGAAGGAGAGAGAGTGAAACACTTACATCGTGAAGCCTACAGTGTATTCTGCAAAGGAGCAGCTGTCTTATTTTAACTAAATTAACATTGTCATGGCGCAGGTCAGGGTTAGCTAAAGGTTAAGGTTAGCTGTGTAGGTGTGCCGTTGGCTTGTACATACAGTGGGGGAAAAAAGTATATAGTCAGCCACCAATTGTGCAAGTTCTCCCACTTAAAAAGATGAGAGAGGCCTGTAATTTTCATCATAGGTACACGTCAACTATGACAGACAAAATGAGAAAATAAAATCCAGAAAATCACATTGTAGGATTTTTAATGAATTTATTTGCAAATTATGGTGGAAAATAAGTATTTGGTCAATAACAAAAGTTTCTCAATACTTTGTTATATACCCTTTGTTGGCAATGACACAGGTCAAACGTTTTATGTAAGTCTTCACAAGGTTTTCACACACTGTTGCTGGTATTTTGGCCCATTCCTCCATGCAGATCTCCTCTAGAGCAGTGATGTTTTGGGGCTGTCGCTGGGCAACACAGACTTTCAACTCCCTCCAAAGATTTTCTATAGGGTTGAGATCTGGAGACTGGCTAGGCCACTCCAGGACCTTGAAATGCTTCTTACGAAGCCACTCCTTCATTGCCCGGGCGGTGTGTTTGGGATCATTGTCATGCTGAAAGACCCAGCCACGTTTCATCTTCAATGCCCTTGCTGATGGAATACATGGCCCCATTCATTCTTTACACGGACCGGTCGTCCTGGTCCCTTTGCAGAAAAACAGCCCCAAAGCGTGATGTTTCCACCCCCATGCTTCACAGTAGGTATGGTGTTCTTTGGATGCAACTCAGCATTCTTTGTCCTCCAAACACGACGAGTTGAGTTTTTACCAAAAAGTTATATTTTGGTTTCATCTGACCATATGACATTCTCCCAATCCTCTTCTGGATCATCCAAATGCACTCTAGCAAACTTCAGACGGGCCTGGACATGTACTGGCTTAAGCAGGGGGACATGTCTGGCACTGCAGGATTTGAGTCCCTGGCGGCGTAGTGTGTTACTGATGGTAGGCTTTGTTACTTTGGTCCCAGCTCTCTGCAGGTCATTCACTAGGTCCCCCCGTGTGGTTCTGGGATTTTTGCTCACCGTTCTTGTGATCATTTTGACCCCACGGGGTGAGATCTTGCGTGGAGCCCCAGATCGAGGGAGATTATCAGTGGTCTTGTATGTCTTCCATTTCCTAATAATTGCTCCCACAGTTGATTTCTTCAAACCAAGCTGCTTACCTATTGCAGATTCAGTCTTCCCAGCCTGGTGCAGGTCTACAATTTTGTTTCTGGTGTCCTTTGACAGCTCTTTGGTCTTGGCCATAGTGGAGTTTGGAGTGTGACTGTTTGAGGTTGTGGACAGGTATCTTTTATACTGATAACAAGTTCAAACAGGTGCCATTAATACAGGTAACGAGTCGAGGACAGAGGAGCCTCTTAAAGAAGAAGTTACAGGTCTGTGAGAGCCAGAAATCTTGCTTGTTTGTAGGTGACCAAATACTTATTTTCCACCATAATTTGCAAATAAATTCATTAAAAATCCTACAATGTGATTTTCTGGATTTTTTTTCCTCAATTTGTCTGTCATAGTTGACGTGTACCTATGATGAAAATTACAGGCCTCTCTCATCTTTTTAAGTGGGAGAACTTGCACAATTGGTGGCTGACTAAATACTTTTTTTCCCCACTGTATATACAGTAGATATGACTGTTTATGACCTCTGCTATGAACTTTGTGATGGAGGTGTGTAATTTTACTGTTGCTGGAGAGGTCTATGCACTGGCCAAATGTTACCATAGCAGGGAACGTCCCATTTAACCTGTGGGAGCTATTCTAGCACACCATGTTTGTATATAAAGTGGCTATTCCAGTTCCCATATATCAAGTCCCAATTCAACGACCCATGTCTCAATGAGTTCTCATCCATTCACCTGGACAATGCAAACCGATGCTGATGTAAAGACTTTTATGTTTTTGTACATTTCTCTCATGTATTTATTATCGGCCATCGACAGCACTGCATTTCTCCTGTGTGAATCAATCTGGCCCCAACAGAGTGGCGCTTTTAAATATCCCTCAACATTCTGACTAAAGACTTTGTTGGGATTGTAGGTTATGTTACGTCTCCTTAAGGGTTACGAGGAAAACTAAAAAATCCACTGAAATCTCTCAAATCTGTCTATATGATATGTTCTAACTTACTGTATTTAAAATACAAAATACTGTATTAAAACCACCCCCCGAAACAGATGTCAAAAATGCATATGGACAAAGCAAACCAATGAATTGCAAATGTTCTGTTCAACCCACAAAAGGCGTTCTTCCTTCTGTGTGTATTATGTACCAGTGTTTCCTCTATCCTGTCCTTTATAAGCCTCTCCAGTGTAAATACAGATGTCTGTGTGTGCTTAATGGGAATCTGAAGGCCGAGATTGCATCATCCTTATTGCATAGTAACCAATTAAGATAATAGCTGGGCAGAGAGTGCGTTGAGCTCCCGGCGGCAGATGTGTGTATGCTCTAAGTACACTATATATACAAAAGTATGTGGACACCCCTTCACATTTGTGGATTTGGCTATTTTAGCCACACCCGTTGCTGATAAGTTTATAAAATCGAGCATGGCCTTACTAAAGAGCTCATTGACTTTCAATGTGGCACCGTCATAGGATGCCACCTTTCCAACAAGTCAGTTCGTCAAATTTCTGCCCTGCTAGAGCTGTCCCGGTCAACTGTAAGTGCTGTTATTGTGAAGTAGAAACATCTAGGAGCAACAACGGCTCAGCCGCGAAGTGGTAGGCCACACAGGCTCACAGAACGGGACCACCGAGTGCTGAAGCGCGTAGCACGTCAAAACTGCCTCTGGAAGCAACGTCAGCACAAGAACTGTTAGTCAGGAGCTTCATGAAATGGGTTTCAATGGCCAACCAGCCACACACAAGCCTAAGATCACCATGCGGAATGCTCGCCACCACTGTAAAGTTTGGTGCAGGGGGAATAATGGTCTGGGGCTGTTTTTCATGGTTTGGGCTAGGCCCCTACAACATACAATGACATTCTAGACGATTCTGTGCTTCCAACTTTGTGGCAACAGTTTGGGGAAGGCCCTTTCCTTTTTCAGCATGACAATGCCCCCGTCCATGCAGAAGTGGTTTGTCGAGATCGGTGTGGAAGAACTTGACTGGCCTGCACAGAGCCCTGACCTCAACCCCATCGAACACCTTTGGGATGAATTGGAACGCCGACTGCAAGCCAGGCCTAATTTCCCAACATCAGTGGCCGACCTCACTAATGCTCTTGTGGCTGAATGGAAACAAGTCCCTGCAGCAATGTTCCAACATTTAGTGGAAAGCCTTCCCAGAAGACTGGAGGCTGTTATAACAGCAAAGGGGGGACCAACTCCATATTAATGCCCATGATTTTGGAATGAGACTTTTGGTCATGTAGTGTATGTTTAGAACAGCTGTTTACATGTGTGTCAGCACTGGTGGGGCACTGTGTCCTACAAAAACACTGTATCCTTCTATAAGTAAGTAGTGTGTTGTGGGATAGGAAGCGTGTAAAGAAATATTGGAGAGTGGAGCCTCTGGAACGAATCAAGTGTTCTCATTGGACAAGTCCATGTATGACCTCCTGTTTCAATGCGTTTCTCACGTTCTGTATACTGAACAGGTCCCTTGGCCATCCCCCAGGCCATGTGATGTCTCACAAGGGAGGCTGAGACGAATCAGGGAATGCCTCTGATCTCCAATCAGAATTACATAGAGTACCTCTGATGTAACAAAGGTGAGCTCTGTTAGGGCCACAAAGGGCTCTGTTAGGGTTAAGGTAAGGAATGGGATATTGATAATGTCATTGGACACACTAGAAGTTTTCTAATGTATATATGTCCTTACTTGGCTATCTACTGTAGGTAAAGGAAATTCAGACTAGCTATATATTTAACATCTCAGAAAGGGCTGTGGTATGCCATGCGAATGAGAAAATAACACACAAATTAAACCTGAGCTCCACTCAAACTATACTGGTTACAATTAGCAGGATCCAATTAAGAGTCCCCTCCTAGAAGGCAACATCAAGGCAAAACCCAGGGTCCCTCCCTCAATTTCACCGGTGACAGTGCTGATTTCCATCCCTCACACTGCATACAACCTGCGGTGAGAGAACATTTTGTTCTTTGAGGTTGGCTTGAGCCGTTGCTTTGGTAGCAGGGAAAGATGTGTGCATTCTATGTTGAGAGGGAGGGTGAGTGGGGGGAGATAGACAGGCGAAGGAGGCGGGGGTGCAGAGGGCATACAGGCAATCGGCACCACACAGCTGCTTTCTACAGTGTGCCCACTGTTCTTCCACCCATTTCCACGCACACCCAGCCACTGTCTCCTAGTTACCATGGCGATGGAAGGTGTGCAAGAGAGTGAAAAGAGAGAAAGGGACAAACACCCCTGAAGATTTCAGTCAGAGTTATAACCGCCTAGCTACAATAGGAGGAAAAGACTCATGTTGTTTGTTGTTACAGAATGCCAGCTATTCTCTTCCTACTGTCCCCAACTCACATACAACCCTGAAAATCCATCAGAATATTCGGTGGGGTTCAACTATTATTTCTCATATTGCCATACCATAGGATATTTTATGTACAGTGGGGAAAAAAAGTATTTAGTCAGCCACCAATTGTGCAAGTTCTCCCACTTAAAAAGATGAGAGAGGCCTGTAATTTTCATCATAGGTACACGTCAACTATGACAGACAAAATGAGAAAAAACTATCCAGAAAATCACATTGTAGGATTTTTAATGAATTTATTTGCAAATTATGGTGGAAAATAAGTATTTGGTCAATAACAAAAGTTTCTCAATACTTTGTTATATACCCTTTGTTGGCAATGACACAGGTCAAACGTTTTCTGTAAGGCTTCACAAGGTTTTCACACACTGTTG